AAGCTCCAAGAGGCCACCGACAGTGCCCCAAGGAGGGCACCAGGGGGGGAAGAACATCTAGGACCTCATTATTTTGATCGATCATCTCCACGATGGCCTCAAGGGGCCTTCCAAGACGCCTCAGAAGGCCTGCCCCACGAGGGCCCTAGGGGCGCGCACGAGCGTCCCACGAGGGCCCCAAGAGACGGATTACATCTTCCTCCTCCTCCTCCTCGGTTCCTTTTCCATATCAATAATTTCTCCCTGTCGCACCCGAGGTCAGTTTTTAGGGCGGGCGGGCGTTTCGCCTGAGACTTCCCCACCAATTATGACCCTGGCAACAAATTCACCGATGAAGGGCGGGTCGTTTTCAAAATGCGGTTCCCGCTTTAGCGCCGCGCACATTCGTTTTAACAACTGGCTTAGCATTTCACGGGTTGAGGACGACTGGTTTTTTAACTGTGGCTCTCGCCTTCGCGCCGCACGCATTCGTTCTAAGCATTTGCAGTATTTTCGCTGGTTTAGGGCGGCTCTTTTCCAAACTGTGGGTCTCGCCTTAGCGCCGCGCGCATTCTCTTTTGATATTTGCAAGAGTTACGCGGATCCCGATGATCAGCGTACCAGGAACACTGTTTTGGAAGGGTTCAGGGTTATGGGTGTGCAACAGGTTGATTTGCGGTGAAGTCCCAAGAATGGCGTTCTGGCGCGGTTCAGAATCGTCAAGACGCAACAGTCAAGTTGCCCCGTGGCGTTGGAATCCCGAGAACCATGTTTTGGCATGCGTCAGGGTACAGTGGACATGGATCATTGTAGGGGCCCATGAAGAGGAAGCTTGGAGGGAGGGTTAATTTCAACATCGTTGATGAATCTTGGGTTTACACTGGACCTGCACCTCCTCGTCCTCCTCTTCACCTCGCCCCCTGCGGGCCCCAGGGACGGCCCGAAGAGGCCCTCTCACCCCCCCCATGTTCCCAGAGATCTCTCTGGTCATCCTGGTTGTATATGGTGTCTCTTCGTCGCACTGCCCCTTCAGATCTGATGGGCAAGTCTTCTGAACGGGGATACGAGGAGCGTGAATCATACAAACGGTACAACATCATCGGCATTTGCGTCGTCGCGGAGGCGGCGAATAAGTATACACACCACCGGACATATTTTGCGTTGTTGCGCTCTCAATACCGTTCGGAATTACATGCTGGCTTAATTCAAACATGTCCTTTTTACCTCGCCAACACTGCCGACAAACCGAATGATATACTTCTGAGGTGCTGGCAACTAGCGAAAAAACATGCATTCCTTCAACTCGGGATGGTACAGCCAAGGAACACGATTAGACATTTTCCATTCCAATTCGCCTGGCGAAAGAACCCAACCGTAAGTGCCGCAGGGGGGCGAATCGTGCGAAGGGTGTGCCAAAATTGGATGGCGGCACGCGGGCGCTGCCATTGGGGCCTTCGGTGGAACAACTTCTGAAACAGCAAAACGTGTGAATGGTGCGCCGGAACGGAGGTGGAACTGCATGCGGACCCTGCGTCTGGGGCCTTCGGCGGGGCAACGTATGGGGCCACGAAGCGACTGAGGGGTGCTCCGAAATTGGGGTGGAACTGCATGCGGACCCTGCCTCTGGGGCCTTCGGTGGAACACCCTACGGGGCCACGAAACGTGTGAGGGGTGCGCCGAACTGAAGGTGGAACTGCATGGAGATCCTGTCACTGGGGCCTGCGGTGGAGCACCCTATGGAACCACGAAGCGTGTGAGGGAGGGGTGCGCCGAAACGGGGGTGGAACTGCATGCGGACCATGCCACTGGGGCCTTCGGTGGAACACCCTATAGGACCACGAAGCGTGTGAGGGAGGGGTGCGCCGAAACGGGGGTGGAACTGCATGCGGACCCTGCCATTGGGGCCTTCGTTTGAGCACCCTATGGGGCCACGAAAAATGTGAAGCTTGCACCGAAATTGGGGTGGAACTGCATGCAGCCCCGCTGGGGCCTCCGGTGCAACACACCATGAGGCCACGAAGCCTGTGAGGGGTGAGCCGAAATGGAAGTGGAACTGCATACAGACCCTTCCACTGGGGCCTTCGGTAGAGCACCCTATGGGGCCACGAGACGTGTGAAGGGTGCGCCGAAACGGGGGTGGAACTGCATGCGGACCCTGCCGCTGAGGCCTTCCGTGAAGCACCCTATGGGACCACGAAGAGTGTGAGGGGTGCGGCGAAACGGGGGTGGAGCCGCATGCGGACCCTGCCATTGGGGCCTTCGGTGGGGCATGGAGCACCCTACTGCGCCGATCCGACAGTTTCCCCAATTTCGCCACCGTGCCGGCCGCGGCCATCTGGGGTGGCGCGCGCGGGACAAGACCCGCGGGGCCCGAGGGCGGATGGTGGCGATGTCGCGAGGGCAGAATCGGCGCGCCGATGGGCAGGCAGCCCAGCGCTCCGTTTGGCCGGAGGGGCCCAATACAATGCAAGGGCAAAGCCTAACCCGCCCGGGGTCGCGGGATCGGGTTCCCCTTCCAATGAAAAATTTTAAATCCCAAGCGGTGTACTGACCCGAAAATGAGCAAACGGCAAAGGACCTCCTCGAAAGAATCGGTTATGCGCCGACCCGAAAAGTTTATCGGCCGACTGAAAGTGGCCAAATCCCATAGGACTTGCGCCCCCCACAAAAGTCGGGTCCGGTTCGAACGACCCGAAAATGTGCAAACCGTTTAGGACTCCATGCAATTACATAATTCTCGAGGTCTTCGGGCCCGCTCCGAAGAAACCGAACATGGGCAAACCGGCAGGCATTTCCTATCAAAAACGGTTTCTCGGTGGCTCCGGGGCTCGTCCTAAAGAGCCGCCGATGGGCAGACCGCTCAAGACCTCCTGCGCAAGAAACTGTGTCCCGGGGGAGCCATTGTCAACGGGAGCGCGCCCCGCGCGGGATCGGGGTTTGCGCGGGGGCGCAGCTGCTCTCGCGTGTCCAGGGGCATGCATTGTCGCGCCCTTCCAGCATTGCGTTTGTGCTGCATTCGTGCGGCGCCGTGCCTCTCAAATCGGAAGAAACTTTCGGAACGCCGATGTATGGGGCCACGAAACGTGTGAGGGGTGCGGCGAAACGGAGGTGGAACTGCATGCGGACCCTGCCTCTGGGGCCTTCGGTGGAGCACCACACCCTATCGGGCCACGAAACGTGTGAATGGTGCGCCGAAATGGACGTGGAACTGCATACGGACCCTGCCACTGGGGCCTTCGGTGGAGCACCCTATGGGGCCACGAAGCGTGTAAGGAGTGCGCCGAAATTGGGGTGGAACTGCATGCGGACCCTGTCACTAGGGCCTTCGGCGGAGCACCCTATTATGGACATGGGGAGGGCAGAGGCAGAGAGTGGAGGAGGGGCGGAGGGGCGTAGGAGAAGGAGGAGGAACGCGGGGCACTGTCTCTTCAAACCGAAGACCCAACACTTCAATATGGTTGGGGAATACCAGAAGCAAATATATGTATATCCCTCCGGTGATTCTTCCTGCAACCTCCACAACACAAGTGTTGTCTATTCCTCATTTGCGGAGGTAGCACTGTTATGTTTGGACGAATGCTGTTGCCTTCCAACAACAACAACCTTTGCGCATACCTGGGTTACAGACTCACGGGTTGCAGAATTGCGTAATTGAATCTGCCTTGTATGTTTAACGATTCCGCTCTCCTGGCCACCTCGAAAGACCAAGAGCGTTGGATAATCAACCGCCGCATTTTAAACCAATCCTACTCAAACATTGCCTAGCAAACATCAAGCCGCACATAATATTCCTACACATAGAAGACATTGAATGGCGCACCTTTGTACGCAAAGAAGGCCCATCACACTTTAAGCCGCCCACGGTTTTGCTTGAGTCTGCAGTGCTTCAGGTAGGTCAAGGTCTAGTATACAGGGAAGATATGGATGGACGTTTTTTGGGGGATCACGGCGAATTGTGATACTTGCCCCGCCTGTCTGTCCATGTAAGCTTAACAAGGAGCTTGCCGCTCGCGTTCCAAAATGCTGCTATTTCATATTTTGGATGATATACTTTTCTCTGAGATTGGTTGATTTATTTTCATTTCTCTATTTCACATCTTTATTTTCATTGATTTATTTTGATTGGTTTGATTTCTATGTTTTGGATGATCTATTTCTCTTCATGAGTTGGTTGACGTGTAAACGCTGCACGTTCTCTAGATCGTATTACCACCTGGGAAAGGCAGCAATGCCCTTGTGCAGCTGGACTTCTTGGAACAGTGAGCTTTGACGCGCGATCCAAGCCAGGGCAACTTCTTGAAACTGTCAATGGCTTCGCAGAAGGAGTCCTCGTGATTTCAGCCTCAAATTCCCAACCATCCTGTGGCGTTGGGTCTTCGTTTTGAATCTGCGGCGCCTCGCGTCTCCCACCCTCTCCCTCCTTCACCCTTCCTCCATCCTCCAAGTAGAGAGTCGACTTCATAGTTGATTTATCTTTGTATCCACGGAGATGTCGTAGAACTTTCGAATATCTCCACGTATTGTACGTATTCGTGTTGAAAGTTCGACGTGGCAATAAATTCTGGGGTAAATCAATTGTTATGTAGTCGACCTCCTACTCGATTCCTCCCATCCCATCCTCTGCATTCCGTATGTCTCTGTTTCGGCACAACCTCACGCGCTTGCGTTGCTCAATGGGGAGCGCCACCGAAAACACCAATGGCAAGGTCCACATGCCGCCGCCGCCCCGGAAATTTCGTTTTTTTGGCTGCAGATTCTACTTCAACTCTTCTCGGACAGATCTGTGTGCCATGAACTGAACCAAATAGATGAACACACATATGCAACATTTCAAACATAACAATGGGTGACTCTTTGATTTCGGTGGCCTTCCTGAAATCCCAATACTGCGAACGAGCTCGACAACAAGAGCATTACAACAATTGCATGATGCTCGGGATGACTCAACCCGGCGGAACGACAGCCAGCTTATGCACACATGCGCGTGGATTCGTCCCAGGGCCGGGGCTGATGCCGTACATTTAAGAGGTGGTGCTGCAAGAGACACTCTGTGCGCCAAGGGGCACAGCAATGCTCGCCAAATATGCGATCCTGCTCTTCTTCCCCATTCCCATCCGCATCACGTCACCGCCCTCTTTCCATTCTGCCACTGCAGGAGCGCGCGGGCGCCAAACAGCTGTCTTTACATAAGTCGTCCGCTGCCGTGCGCGGAGGCACGACGGGGCGTGACAGAGCTGCTTGGCAGGGCCCCCCAGGCAACAAACATGAGCCCCAAAAACCTCGACTAGCACCATATATTCCGACCCCCCTCTCCGACCTAGTGAGGCTGTCGACGGGCCCACAGAACTCCAGGCCCAACTCGGGGACGTGCGGTGGGGAGCGTCTATCTATCTCCGATAATTCGGAGTGCAACTGGATGGCTGAATTTCCCATCTTTTCTAACGGGCGTTGGGGGGCAGAATTCGCAACGACCGAACACGCCTCACTCAAACAATATGAAGAAAAATAGAGCCGCGTTGCTTAGAGCCGTGCTAGAATCATAATGGGGCTGTGGTAAACAAAAACACCCTGTGCTGACCCAAATCGTACTGCTCCCCAACATCCAACATCGCGAGACCTCACGGCCGGAACTCTCGATCCCATCACGCACGCGAGGCCCATGGGAGGCAAGCGGGAGGGACGCTGGCCCAAGGCACCCGCAGAGAGGGAGGCGCTGAAACAAGCAATACAAATCCTCCTGCGTGGGCGTGTGGACGCTTCTGCCGTGGCTCGGGCCCCAGGACTCGCACGGATCGATCTAGCCCGAAACAATCTGCATGAACATGGTTCACTTCCCGTGCGCAGTGCGTTGCAAACGTTCGAGCGAGAATGTCATGATAGAATTGGCTCAGGATGCGTTTCTAGCGGCGCAGCCAGTGCGGAACATCATCACATCTAATACATCCTGGCAACCTGGGAAATCTTGGAACGTATCATTATAATGACCTCTTGCTCCTCTGAAGCGTGGCCACCAGGACAAACGAACTCCGAGCGTGCCCGCTCGTGGCAAGCCACGTCGTGCTGCCAACGTGATCGGCAGGAAACTCCGAGCGTCACGGCTCGCGTCCAGTGCAGTTCGTGTTGCAAACGCTCTTGCATATCGCACGCTTTGAGCAGGGACCGACCGTCCCGGCATTCCTATAGTCCTACCACGACATGATCTTAGAACCCACAAATGTTCCAAAAACAACCACAATGTTCTTAGATCATACACCCGGTGTGATAAAACAAGATCGTCCCAACCAGAACTGTTCTAAGAACATTTCGTGGGAACCACAAAAGGTTCTTAGAACATTGTTTGGTAGGACTTCACGCCAAGACGCTTCGCCACTGCTTGAACGCTGTTGCCGAGAAACTCATCCCGTACGGGCCCGCTCGCACCGAAACCACATCTGAGCGAGCCGGCTCTCTTCTGGTGCACACTGCGTTCCCAACGCTGTCGCCCAGAAATCAGCGCTCTGAATGTGCCAAATCGCGGCCCCGGCGCGCGCGGGTCGCGCTGCAAGCGCTGTCGGCCAGAGGCTCGCTACGAACGTGTCGGCTAGCTTCTACATGCACTTCGCGTTGGCAGCGGTGCTGTGCGCTGTCCAGAGCACGTCGCACACCGCACTGAAATCAGGAGTGGGTTGGACATTTGCTTCCCACGCGCCAGCTCGCTGCGGGTGCACTTGGCGTTGCCAACATACATTGTTGCAAAGTCCGCACGTGCTAGCTCGCGGCTGGCGCACCTCGCGCTGCCATCAATGCTGGCAAGAACCTCTGAGCGTGTCCACTCGCTTCCAGTGCACTTCGCATTGCCAACGTTCTTGCTACTCATAACGCTGTTGCCAAACAACTTATTCGAACGTGCCCGCTCGTAACGAAATTCCCTGAGAGCAACCCGGCTCGATTCCACTGCGCACTGCGATCCCAACAGTTGTGCCCCTTCAGTCGCTCTGAATATGCCTTGCCTGCTCGCGGCAGGAGCCCGTCGCGTTACAAACGCTGCCGGCGGGAAACCTACCCTGAGCGTGCCAACTCGCTTCTGGTGCACCCCGCCGGCGTTGCTGCTGCACTGTTTCCCACCATGTCTGATCTGCTGCATGTGGAAGGGGGCCCATCCAACGCGCGTGGCTCTCCCTCCTTATCTCCTCTGCTGCAACCGCTTCCTCGCTCCACCCCTCGCCTCCTCTTGCCGCGTGGGACAGTGCCCACTGCCGCTGGCAAAGGACATTGCGTGGGCCTCGCTCCTATCCGCGTCCGTGGGGGTTATGGGCATCCAATGTCGTTGCCAACAGGATATCTGCCACCGTGCCGCGAGGCACTGGGTGGAGGGTCTCCAGGCCTCAATGGATTTTTATTCAGCGGCCAACAACCCCGAGTATCGAAATTCCTGGGGCGGCCTGGGTTTTCTCCGATGAATTTCTCGCGAGCCAGAGGGCCTCAAGACGGGCCAAGAGACGTCCCAGAGGCCTCCAAGAAGGTCCACAAGGGGCCTTGACACGCCTCCCCGAGCGCTCCAAGACGCCAAAGATGGCCTCAAGACGGTTCACTCGAAGTCGCCCCAAGAGGGCTCCATGAGGACCGCCCAGGGGGTCCCAGGAACCAAACATCGCCCCATTCTCGTATGATAAAGACCACATTTTGACATCTTCGCTTTTTGGGTTCGCGCGACGTCCGAGACTGCCCAAGAGCCCTGAGATCGCCCTAAGAGGCTTCCAGTGGGGGCCAAACGACGGTCAGCGAGACCTCGCAGAAGGCCGCAGGGGGGCTCCACGACGGTCAAAGCGACCCCGCGGACGGCCGCAGAGGGCCCCGAGAGAGCCCCCAGAGGAGGACCACGAATTTATCAGCGCTCGTTTGACGGGGACTCCACTGACGGGTACTTTGGCCAGTGACCCGGCGAACCCAACCCTTCCCGATGTGGGCAACGCTGCAATGCCAGAAAGACGCCCTAAAATGGCAAGTTTCGGCAACTTTCCAAAATACCCGTTCGTGAGTACCCGTTACGTTGCCCGTGAGCAAAGCAATGCCAAGCAACGCCAAGCAAAGCCACACAATATCAGACAATCCCAAGCAATGCCAAGAAACGTTGAACAATGCAACACAATGATAAACACTGCCTCTTAGGACACGTTCCCCTAATTGGGGTCGCGCTGGGCTCGTGGGGATCTCGCTGACATTAAACTGTATAAATGATATATACATATATATATATGTATGTGTGTGTATCGATGTGACCAGAAATCGAACATTGTGCTGCAGCTTCGCGGATGGATGGCGGTTTCTTTTCGACATTGGGCTCTCGTTATAGACACCTCGATACGTGTGATCAAAGGCCTGCAATTCTTGAACGGTTACACGGTTGGAGGGCGGAGCCGTTTCAAAGCGGGGCTGCCATTCGCCTGTTGGGCAAATCTTACGGCTCCACCTGACCGCATTCCTGACCTATCGAATAGTGTACAATAGGGGCTCGACCACAAGACACCTTCCACAAGAAACCCAACCCTACGACCCCAGGACGTCCATCGATTGCTTTGGCGTGGGAACAGCACGCTCCCCATGGCAGAACCAGCGAAACCCAAGAAACCCAGTGCACTCTGGAGGAAAATGGGGTGTTCCTTGGCATGGGTTTCCACTGTACCGAATGATGTAAACCACTTTTTTCCCAATCACCTTGTGGTATTGGGTCCTCGTTTTGAAGAGAACGTCCCGCGTTCCGTCTTCCTTCCTTCCCCCCCTCCTCCCTCCTCCCGTCCCCCCCCTCACTTTGGCACACCCCTCACACGCTTCGTGGCCCCATTGGGAGCTCCACCGAAGATCCCAGTGGCGCAGTCCGCATGCGGTTACCCAGCCCAATACAGCGTTTGCTGGCCCCAGAGGGGACTCCACCGAAAGTCCCAGTGGCGCAGTCCGCATGCGGTTCCCCGACCCAGTACAGCGCTTCGTGGCCCCAGAGGGGGCTCCTCCACAAAGGTCCCAGTGGCGCAGTCCGCATGCGGTTCCCCCGCCCAGCACAGCGCTTCGTGGCCCCATGGGGAGCTCCACCGAATGTCCCAGTGGCGCGATCCGCATGCGGCTCCCCCGCCCAATTCAGCGTTCGCTGACTCCAGAGGGAACTCCACGGAAGACCACGCCCACGACTGCGGCACTCACTACTGCACAAGGTTGGGTTCTTCGCCTGCAAGGAGGAAAGACTGGTCTACTCTGTAAGAACGGTTTTTTGAAGGCAGATCTGCCTTCAACTCTGTAAGAACGGTTTTTTGAAGGCAGATCTGCCTTCAAAAAACCGTTCTTACAGAGTAGGCTAGTCTCAAAGCGGAGCTCCCGCCCGCCCTGCGGCCCCCTGCGGCACTCGTGCTGGCAGGGAGGCGCCCCGCCTCGTGGAAGCGAACGCCTTGTAGGTGCCAGTATTCTGTCGGGCATGTCCTCCTACAGGCGGTGTTCGGAAGACAGCACAAAGTTGCCCAAGCATACTCAACAATAGTCGAACATAATCGAAGCATCGTCCCCATAATACCTTTTGACTGCTTCTGTGCTTCTGAGTATCCCTCCTGCAGAGGGACATGCCCGACTGAACGCCAGTAATGAAGAGGAGACTTGAGATGGGAGAGCGTGTTACAATATCATTTGTACGTCTTGACCTTCCTCTGGTCCCCATCCTCCTCCGCCCTCCTCCTTCCAGGGGGAGGAGCAAGCTGCGTACGCTGCAGTGTCGCATGTCCTCATCTCGGTGAGAGCGACAGAGCCCGCTGCCACTGCCATTCAATGCCTGTCTCGCACGCGCTGATCCCAGCCCTGTAGCCGATTGATTTAGTCGTGGGCCAAGTCCAGACTCATATGGCATGGCTCAAATGTGTGCTGGAGCTGCGAGCATGTTTGGGTACCTTGTGATCTTTCTAGGGGCCTGTTTGGCTGTGTGAGGGTGTCCTGGAGCCTCTGAGACCCCTGCAACATGGTCCAGGGCCACTTGTTGCTTCTCTTACAAGTGAATGATTGCTGCTGTTGCCTGCTGCTGGTGTGTCTCGCTACGGCTGCAACTGTTGCTGCTGCTTCTGCTTGTCGCTGTATGCTCCATGCTGTCTCCTGCTCGTTGCTGCTGCTGGCTTTGGTGCTGCTGGAATGTATCGGCACACGTCGGGGATCTCTTCTGGACATCCTGGCCAGTCGGGGTCTCGGTTGAGGCCTTCTGGATTGGAGGAGGATCCCTCGGACTATCTCGGTGGCTGTCTGGATGTTTCTAAGGCCAGCGGGGCCACCTGGGGCTGTACCTGGGGCAGCTTCGGGGCACTCCTGAAACTTCGTGTGGGCTGTCGAGCTCTCTTGGAGGCCTCCGGGTCGCGTCTCGAAGCCATCTGAAGTCGAGTCCCGCGGCAGGCCGAACATGTAGGACAGACCAGAAACTCTTACTCTTTCTAATCTTTGGGGGCCCGCCTGAGATCCCCAACGTCGCCTGGTGGGAACTCCCTCGGCCGACCAGAAGCCCTGCCTTGAAACATCTGGCAGACCAGAAGCCCTGCCTTGAAACATCTGGCATACCTGCGGTCTGGGGTAGTTCTGGTTTGGGCCCCCGAAACACGAATCCGTAACTACCCCTGACTGCCCCCCGCCTCGATGCTTCGGGAAGGTTGGAAACCCGAATTCTCCGGAATAACACTGCTGTCTGCGGTGACTCCTGCTTGGGCCCCCAAGGCGCGAATCTGTAGCTACAGTGTGGGCGCGGCCGCAAGAAACCCTCGCAAGAAACCCAAGCCTGACAACCCGCGCGCGAGGTGCACCTGACAACGCAGCAGCTTCTACAACGGCTGCGGGAAGTCATCGCGCAGCGCGCGGAGCGAAGAAACCCAGGGTACCCTGTCGAAAAGCATATGGTTTCCGGATGCGCGCCCCCACTGTACCCCTGACCACCTCCAGCCCTAATGATTCGGAGCTCTGACTGCCCCTGCGGGAGTCCTGACAAGCGGCCGTGGCAAATCTTCTGGAACCCTCTTGGCGCCCGCCGAGTCCTGCCACCACTGGTCGGGGGATGCGGCGGGTGCCCCCTGGCCCAAGGTGCCCCCAGCTTCTCGCTCCATCTTGGACCCCCTGGGACCCCTTGGCCCTCGTGAGGGGTGCTCTAGAGGTAGTGGGGGCCCCCTTGGCAATCCTGAAGCCACCCTGGGCCAAGGGCACGTCTAGCAACACCCGAAATGGTACTTCGGGGATCTAGTGACCAATGTCAATCCAGACCCGGGTCAATCAAACTTTGCAAAATCCTGCATAATCCTGCACCCAAGCCCGGGTCAATACGACCGTGGCTCTGCAAGATCCTGCAGGATCTGGCGCTCTGACTGACCCCCTGTTCGCATTGACCCCCGTCTCTTGAGCCCCGAGTGCTCTCGTGCGCGCTGCTCCTGGGACTGTAGGGGTAGGATTGGCGCAGGGCGCAGGTTTCGAGCTCCACGTCCTGCCGATCGGCGCCAGAAGCCCGCTGCCGCCGCCACTGCTCGCCTGTGCTGCTCGACTGTAGGATAGGATGGCGCAGGGCGCAAATTTCGAGCGCCACATCTTGCTGATCAGCGCCAGAGGTCCGCTGTCGCTGCCACTGCTCGCCTCTCTCTCCCTCTTTCTCTCTCGCGCGCGCTGAACCAATCGCTGTAGCTGATATCTGGCTCTGGCATGGCCGTCCGCATTTCGCTGAGCAGCGACAAGGCCCGCCGCCCGTCTTCCTCACAGCGCTGTAGAAGCGATAAGCCTGTGAAGTCCAATTCTAAGCAGCCAAACGACAATCGCAAGGCTGCAGCCTGTTGCGAACGAGTCCACTTCCTTTCACAATGCTGAGAAGTGCGAGCCCGCTGTCGATGGTCGCTCTTCTCATGAGGCGCTAATGCCCGCGCTGCAGTTGATGATTGTTGCGAAACCTCGCTCCCACTGCTCGTCCTTTTCGCATGTCTGATCCCAGAGATGTAACTTATGGCGCTGGTCCAAATTTCGCTTGCCGCATCTTGCTGAGTTGCGCAAGCGCCCGCTGTCACCGTAATACTCGCCTCTCTCTCTCTCTTTCTGTTTCTTTCTGTCTGTTGCGCGAGCTGATCCCACAGCTGTATCTGATCATGTCTGACCTCGGTTTGACTTCCCAACTCTCGCTGAACAGCGACAGGGCACTCCAGGGCTTTCTGTCACTCCTATACTTTCTCGCAAGAGCTGATTGTGGTCTTCGACTCATTGTGAAGAAAGACTTTTCTGCGATATCGTCTTCACGTTCTACACAACACACAGACGATCGGATCGCACAACTGTAGCTAGCTACTTCCAACTGTAATCTCGCCTTCCGCATCGATCTTCGGGGACGGGCTCATTCGGGTCAGCGCTAAACCCAGTCAGCCAGCGCCATGTCCCCGAGACCGTACTGGCCAAGACGTAGCTCCAAAGTCCTGGTTTGCAGAGGGAAGGCCGACGACGACGAAAGGACGAGGACGACGAGGACGACGAGGACGTCGAGGACGTCGAGGACGACGAGGACGACGAGGACGACGAGGACGACGAGGACGACGAGGACGACGAGGACGACGAGGACGACGAGGACGACGAGGACGACGAGGACGAGGACAAGGACGAGGACGACGACAGGGGGTCTGCCCCAGATGGCTTCAAAACGCGGGTCAACCGGGGGGGATCAAGGGGGATTGGCTGACCTCCGTTAGGGCTGACCCGCAACGCCTGCGCTCCGCATGCCGAGCCACGCCACCTTCCGCTTCGACTGCCTGTCTTTTCTCGCACGCGCTGATGCCATCGTCGTAGCCACCGTTGGGCTCCACCTTCGCCCCCCGCGTCTCGCTGTGCAACGCCGAAGCCCGCTGCCACCGCTCGCCCTTCTCGCTCCCCTCGGGCACCCGGGTGGGGCTGCTGGTGCTGATCGGCCACGCGCGAATCTCAACGCCCAATGCCTCAAACATCATCTACGCTCCACCTCACTCATTTTGGGCTGCCACTGCTCGCCTTTCTCGCCATCAGAACATATGATGGACCACACGCGAATCTCAACACCCAACGCTGCACAACACCCACTCTCGTCTTGAACGTAGTTTTTTTATTCATGACTTTCAAGGACCAGCTCCATCGTAATTTTTGGGGCGCAGTTCTGGAGAACCCACCTGAAGAATATCGCACCCATAACCTACTGCATGCGGAATGGAAATGCACGGCCTCGCGTTGCCCCGGCCATGCTGGTATGGCAGCAGCTGTGCGGCCGTGTCGCGCAGTGTCAGTGCCATTGAGTGCGCTTCTCGCAGCTGCTGCGCTCGACGACGGCGCGAGCTCTCACCAAACGCGCACGCTGGCGCGCCTGCCCGACACACCGGGCTGCATCACCAACGCTTTCCGCACTCCTTGTCACGCACCTGACCAGCCTCGCCGTCTTTCAGGAGGCAAGGCGTCACTTTCGCCTTCCACGTACTGCTGACCAGCGCACAAGCTCACCGCCACCACTGGTGGGCAACCTCTTACCTTTTCCGCACGCGCTGATGCCAGCATTGTAGCTCATGACTGATGCCCCTGAATTCGCCTTCCAGACTTCCTGAGCAGAGCCAACGCCTGCTGCCACAGATAGCATCTCTCACACGCGCTGGTCCCAGCGTTGTCGTTGATTGTAGAGTTGTAACCAACAGACCCCAGGGTTGTGAGTGGGAGAGATCAGGGATGAGGAGAGGCGACGATCCCAAGGAACGATTAATCTAACGTCTGGGCGCCTCTTCCAGCGATCTCTGGAGGCCTCTGGAAGTCGCAGAAGGTGTTCGGAGGCCTCCACGGAGGCCAGAGAAAGGCAAGATTTAGGTCGGGCATGTCCTGCTACAGGCGGACTTTGGAAGAACATTTAAACCTAGGTACACAAATGTCCAACAACAATCGCAAGAGCACGAAAAATCGTCCCCAGACTATTTTTCACTATTCTTGAATATTCCTCCTGTAGAGGGACATGCCCGACTTAAAACAAGACATGCCCAACAACATACATCCTCTAACTTCCTGGCCCTCGTGCGCCTGGCATCTTGGGGCTGGTGCCAGGTGCCACGCAGGGGCCACCCGAAACCGTGGGGCCCGATCCCTGCGGCCGAGCAAGGGGAGGGTCGAGGATCTAATGCTTGTTTTTCGATTTCTGATGATCTGTTCTTTGCTGCGGTCTTGGCCCTCTTGGGGGGTCTACCTCCCAGGGTCCTTCAGGACGCCTCCGGAGGCGCCCAGCGACCTCCCCCTGTCGAGAGGCCGCGGCGGCGACGACGACGACGTCGCTTCGCATTGAGGGCTTGGCGCCTTGAGAAATTCTCGTCGCCCACGCAGAAGACAGCTCAAACATCTGGCCGTTGTGGGCCCTGGTTGGGGTCAGGGGGCACACTCTGATTCGATTATGTTCTGAAGCTGACGGGGGGCGGTGGCCCCCCCCCGGAGGGCTATGCCCCCGCGATCGATGCCCCAGGGGGGCCCCCCCCTGGGGCATGGGGCTTGCCGGTCGCGCGGTAGACAAAGAGCAGAGAATCCACCCTGCCGGAAATGTGATCAAACAACTCATTATTTATGTCATCTGGGCCAGCTTCCCTGAAGTTTCTTAGCACAACCCTGTGCCAGGTTCTGCTGTTAACGCTGGAGGGCGGACGTGCTCAAGAGACTGGGCCAGCTTTCTGGCAGGCTGGCCAAGAAGGCGGTGGCCCAGTTCTTCAGGAGGAGGCTCCTGAACCAGATGCTCGGCAGTACGCACACCGACCTGTGAAGCCACATTTGGGGGTGACGGT